AGGCAATAGATTGCCAATCTTATATTTTCTAATACCAAGGACTCATACATACATACAAATATATTTGTGAACTTAGCCTTGCTTAAAATGTCATTGACATTGTCATAATGAAATTAGTAGCTGGTAGGGCTTCAGTACATGCATTGACTGAGGACAGGTATTATCTAGATTTTATTAGTGCAATAGAAATCTTTATTTTATTTTTATTTTGCATTAATAAAATTCTTTTGAAAAAAATGTTTGAGTTCAAATCTGCATTTAACTTTCAAGTGCATAAAACATACTTGGACAGTGTTGCTCTAAATATGCATCTAAATATACTTTTTTTAAACTTGTATTTTATAGTTTTTTTGTTTTTTAAACTTACTTTTGTTTTTAAAAAAGTCGAAATTAAAATACTTTTGTTTCTTTAATAAATGTTGTTATAAAAATATAAAATACTATCCCACAATAAAATTTCATTTATCTAAATAAATACTAATAAAGCAATAACTTATTTCAAAGTTATTTTTTAAAACATAAGTTAGCTGAATAAACAGTGAATAGATTTAAAATCCTTATTTATTTTTCTCTTATTGCTTGATATAAAATATTTAGCTTCATAATAGTTAAACTAATTGCTAATGATTTTTATAGATAACTGGTCTTCCTGATCATTTGCTTCCGAAACCTCCTACAGGAACTTCTCCAACATTTGAAAAGTTAAAGCGTGCTTTGAGTCGATCTCCTTCTCCTGTACAAATTGTCCAGGCAGTCTCTACAGTTGCAAATATTATAGCTAGCAATCCAGCGATTGATACAGAACTTGGTAAATAATGTTTTAGTATATTTAACCCATGAAAAAATTTAAATTAAATATTAGTTACTAAAACTAGTTACTAAAATATTAGTTACTAAAAAGCTGCTAAAAAATTTAAATTAAATATTAGTTACTCCTATAATGTCTAGTAACTAATTTAGATAATCTAAATATAATATTATCTAAAGTTTTTTCTGCCTTAACTACCCTTTTTATTTTAAAATATAGAACCATACCTGTATGAAGAGAGATTTGCAAAGGGTTGAAAAAAGATTGTAACAGATTGGGGCTCACAGTGGCTTTTAAATTTTAACTCCAACAAAACTCTTATTAATTCTTTATTATTTAACACTCTGGTTGCTTGGAGGGGGCATTTATTCTTGTCTTGACAAGAAGTCAACACTCTGATTGCTTAGAGAAGGCATTTGAGGTTGATAAGGATCTCACTTCTGCTACAGCATTTGACTCTCGGTGGCTGGTGAATTTTAACTTAGATAATACTAAATTTTTTTAGCTTATTGTTATCACAATAGTCAAGACCTTCCTATATTTATGAACATCTATATATTATTATCTACCCTTTGTCTTCTAGGATTAACTCTTACTTCCAACCTTTCTTGAAAACCATATATCAAATTGATTGCAAAATTGGCATCTGCTAAGGTTTGCATCTCTTTATCCTACTTGACACTTTCTTACTCCAGATGCTATACTTTATCTCTATAAATCTCAAATCTTCCTGATTCATATAATTTGCAATCTTTTAAGTTGACTGTTAATCTTTGTCTTGCTCTATAAACTTCATCTTTTCTCTCTCTAAACTTCCAAATCCAATAGTTGTTGCTTGCAGTCTTGTTGCAAGTGAAGATATTGAAAATAAAAAGTTACAATATTTCTACTTAGTTTTTATTTTATTCCTTCAGGAATAGTATTTGTTTTTTAAGCAATTTAATTGCAAAAAAAGAGGCATTTCAAAAAATATTTCCATTGTTATTAAAAAATATTTTTATATTATTTTTATATTTAATAATCTAGTTATTTACCAAATACGTGAAAATATAAAAATGCTATAAAACAATCAATCATTGAAATAAAACAACAATAAAAAAATTTTTTTTTACAATATGTTGTTTTATAAAAGCGATTAATCATACTCCTTCCTATTGTTGTAAAAGTTTATTTATTTTGTGAATAAAAATGTCATTGAATATCACTTCTTTAACAAGCACTATAATAAAAAGAGGGAGAATGTCAAATTATTAAAAAAAAGACATGCAATTTAAATTTTATTAAATGATATGAATACTTGTAAAGTTAAGATTACAGTTTTTCAAAAGTTATATTGCATTTTTTGATTTTGCCTAAAGCTATTTGTATGTGTTTCACTTTATGTATTTTTTTGTTCTATAATTTATTTGGCTTTGTTTCTTTACTCTCAAGTGAACTTGTTAAACATGAACATGTTAATTGTTTTTGCAAAGCATGCATTTATTTTGCCTGCATTTTAACATAACTATTATTTAACTTAGAACCTAATACGGATGAGTTATACAGAATATGCTGTATAACTCATCCGTATTAGTATATATATATATATATATATATATATATATATATATATATATATATATATATATATATATATATATATATATATATATATATATATATATATATTATCACATTGGCCTGTTAACGCATATAAAAGACAAATAGGCAATATCAAATAAATAACATACTGTAAATTTAATATACATGAGAAATTAGTTTTGAGAGGCATCTTTATGCTTTTAAATAGGTGGATTCCTATTTATATAAAAGATATATTTCGATTTGTAAACATACTCCTGCTTTACTTTTCCGCTGTAAATTAAAAGTAGTTTATAAAGTATTATTTTGGTTTAAATTAATTTAATGAAAAGCTTTGCTTAACTAGGACTTTTATTCTGAATTGGATATAAGTGCATGCTGTAACAAAACTTCCAAAGTTCCAAACTTTAAATTTCCCAAAAATAAAACACTTTTGCAACAAATATAAATAATATTCTTAAATAATTTTTCATACTGATTTCGAATTTCATGTTTTTACTTATAAATATTTACCCCTTATCAATGTTTAGGCTTCTACTTTAATTTTAATATAAGTGATTATTTTGACAAAGGAGTTTACTGTTAAATCAAATGAAATCATTATTATTTTCAAATATAAGCAATGTAGAACACTATGGATTGCTATGATGACTTTCCAAGTAGAACCTTCAAATTAGTAGCATATTCTTCAATAGACATAAGATAGCTGTTTTGTATTTTTTATCAAAAATCATGATTTTAAATAGAGTCAATCTCCATGGCAATGACCTACTTGTATCTCTAAACTAAATTACTTCACTCTTCAATCGTTTTTGGCATTTTATCAGATCTTCTTCTTTTTCAATATATTCACTGACATCTGATCCACAAATAAATGGGCGGCCTTGTTGTTTTAAACAAGTTAAAATAGAATTTCTCCTGGACACCTGATGTAAAGCTTGTTGTTCTTTTTTAGTTAGCCCGCTTTGTCTCAGTTGAATCTGTCACTGGTTCCAACTGTTTTCTATACTTTAAATTTTTCTAGCGATAGGACCCATTTTCTAAAATAGTTTAAAATTATTTGAATCTTCATTTCTTAAATGGTTTAAATATTTAAGAACATTACCACATGAAGCTGTTGAAAGTGACGGTTTTTTGCGAAGTCGAATACTGAGTTCCACACTGGTGCTCAAGTTTAATATTATTTGTAACTGTTTTATTGACTCCAACGACTTGATTAAAAGCGTAATACTCATCAATCATTGTTTCTTTCTCCGAACCCATAATGCTTTTCTCTTTGGTTTATAAGAATTATAGCTAAACCTTACCTTACTAAATTTGCAAGAAAAATGCAATTATCTAAGTTATTTGATGGGTATTTTCGAACTACATCAACAACTTCTAAGCAGTAATCTTTAATAAGATATTCAAAAAGTCTCATTGATACTCCTCGATGCATGGTTCTTTAAATTCAAAGAGTTTTTAATTTATGACATCATTAGGTAAGCTTGCAAGCATCTTGCTAAAGAGCATTTACAGTTTAGAATGTGTGGCTTTACCTTTAGTTTTACAGAAAAATGGTGAAATGACTTGAATTCCAAAAGCTGCTACCATGACTAAAGTAACTATAATGTAATCAAATTTCATAAAATCTTGGACTAAATAAGCAAGTTTATTTGTGTTGGTCTAAATTTATTTATGTTGGTCTAAAACTCCTTAAAGTCATCCCAGTGAAAGCAAACTATAGAAGAACATTTCGAATTTCCGGGGCTAATTCAAAAAACATTTTAGAATCGCGCTAAATAAAAAATATTCTAAAAAAGTGAAATTAATTACATCAAATCTCTTAACAAATGTTTTTATATTAGCGAAACAATTTTAAATAAAGTAACAATTTACTGAAAAAAAGTTTTGTTTTTTAAATATAATTGACAGTTGTATATATATTTTTAATTTAAAACATATAAATTGTTTAAGTGTTCATTTCTAAAATAAATCTTATTAAAAAATAAAAAATTGTTTTGTTTTTATAAACGATGACATTCTACGACTACGAAAGTCTCTTTAACAAATTTAAATATAATAATGATTAAAGTTAATGCATTTAAAAAGATTTCGTTAAAAAATTTACAAAATTTTGTTAAATAAAAAAGTTTTAGAAAACCGTTACAATTTAATAAGTTTGATCTTAGATGCTTTTATATTATCGAAACACTTTTAATGAAGTAAAAAAAAAACTTCTAATTAATAAAAAAAAAAAAGTATTTATAAAATGTTTTTTTATTTTATTTATATAACTATGTATTTTTTATGAGAAATATTTAACTTTTGAACATATTAAACAAATAAAAAATATATAAAAATGTTGAAACAAAGATTGAAAAGGTTTTTTAATACGTAAATTAAATAGACTAAGCATTTTAGTTTGATGAGTTTTGTTTTAGTTGCATTATATATATATATATATATATATATATATATATATATATATATATATATATATATATATATATATATATATATACATATACATATACATATACATATACATATACATATATATATATATATATATATATATATATATATATATATATATATATATATATATATATATATATATATATATATATATATATATATATATACATATATATATATATATATATATATATATATATATATATATATATATATATTTTTTTTTTTTGTGTTTTTGCTTTAGTATTTTTTATTTATTTTCTCTTTCATTAATATTTTTTAAAATTTTTTTTTCAGATAAGTTTAGGTAAGTTTTTGTAGCGCGTTTTTAAATTTAAAATATATGCCGTGGTCAAATCGTTAAAACATTTTTTTTTTTTGCGTGTTCATATAAAGACATGAAATCGCACGTCTTTCTGTGAAAGCCTGAAATGGAACATCTTTAAATTCAAAAAGAAAAATATCTTTGTTTTTACGCTGCATATAAGATTTAAATTCTTTATGATAATTCCATGGTTTTTCCATAAAACTCAGACCAAACAAGTTTAGTACCCATGATAGAAAGGTTAAAGATAACGTTTCGGTACAATTGTTAATAGATGTATCTAACAGTAAGTCCTTGAAAAGGTTATTCATATTCATTTCATTTTCAATTTGATGTAGAACTTTTTCAGTAGCTCTTTTAAAACTTAAAGCTGTATGTAAAGTATAAAACAGTTGACCAACAGGAATTTCTCTATCGAGTATATCAGCTGTGATTTTAGGTAGTCCTATATTATGAACAGTACATCTACCTTCTGGTATAGTTCTTCTGAGGTGTATTTTGAGGCTTCCTGTAACATTTCGAATGTTGTTTCTATTCCGTCTGCAATATTTTCTATAGTTTCTGAAGCGATTGCTAATGTAGGCAAAGGAAAATAAAATTCTCGGTTAATATGTAAACCAGAAGGTGCAAAGGTTTCAATATGCTTTTGATTAGTAGAGTCAGTTGTCTGAGTTATTATATCGCCACTATTTTTATCTTGAACAATTCTGTCTGCAATCAAGCCAAGAGAATACACTTGCATTTGTTTTAGTTTTTTACAAATGGCACTGTGTGTTGGGAGTGTGTTAGAATCAATAAATGTGTTCTCTATAGCTTCACAATTATTTTTATCATACTTAGATATACAGTAAGTTTTATCTGGAATTTTTCATTTTGATTTTTAAATTCGATTGCTTTTACACCTAATATGCGACAATCTAACTCTGCACATGCATGGTAAAAATCACTTAAGATTAAGTTTTTTGATTGTCGCATATTAGGTGGAACTTAAGTATTGGAAGAACTATCTTCAAATATTAATTTTAATTTTTATCTCATCATGTATGGCTTTTGTGGTTCACTTACATCAACAAACATAACTCTCTTTTTTAATTGGTTCAGTGTCTTTTTCAAAGAACTGATAATCATTTTTTATTAATTCTTTTTCAAAAAATTTATCTTCAAATTCACTTAACTCGCTATCATCATTATTGATGTACATTTTTTGATAAACTGCTGTTTTAATTTTTCAAATTCACTTAACTCGCTATCATCATTATTGATGTACATTGTTTGATAAACTCTTCGACTACCACTTTCAAAAGATAATTTATTGTTGACTTCGTTGAAAACAAGTGCAAGAGCATCTCTGAGTAAAGGCAACTTTGTATGATGAAATTTATCAACTGCAGGGAGACTTTCTAAAGGAGTTTGTTTATTTTGATTTAAAACTAGTTTGTTACTAGGTCTTGTTGCCATTTTTTATTTTAATTGATATTTAATTTAGTTAACAATAATAGAAGCAAAGTATTTTCTAGCAAAGTAAAACAAAAGCTATTTTTTAAGTATATTTTAAGTTTTTTAACAAAAAAAGTTTTATTAAATTTTATTTCTTAAAACATTTTAATTCAAGTTTATCCAATCAAAATTTAAATTGCATTAATTTTAATATAAAGTTGCATAACTTTATATGCAAAAAAAACTTTGCTAAGATTTTTCTTTTCTTTTTATTATTACTATTATTATTATAATTTTTTTTTTTTTTTTTTTCTTTGTAACTTTGAATATTTTCAAATAGAAGTAAAAAGCTAACCACACAAAAAAGAAAAAAAAAAAATATATATATATATATATATATATATATATATATATATATATATATATATATATATATATATATATATATATATATATATATAAAACTGAATTGTTTTTCAAACTTTTTAAAAAAAAAATAATTAAGAATAACTGGTTAAACAAAAAGTATAGAATTTTGGCCCCCAAATAAGTTTCAACATAAATCCAGAGAGTTATTTTATGGAAAAAGTAACAAAAAAATTTTTTTGTTTTTATAAAAGTTCTTAATATCTTAATTGCTCCTGTCTAAACCCTTAGACAATGCATGTTGCTTGATTCTTGCATTAATCTGTTTTTTGCTTGGCATGTGTAGTATAATACATCATATGGTATTAGTCTAGAAATTTAAGGATTAGTATTTATTGCAGTTTCTAAATCAATATGCGATAAATTGTTTTTATTAGTTATGACAGAATTTATATTAATGTCATAACCATTGGATATTAATTACATTTAAATTTGTTTTAGTCCTCTAGCCTTCCTTTAGTTTAAGGCTTTTTTATTTCTTTCTTTCTTTAAGTAATGTAGTCTTCTTTTTTAAAAATTGAAATATAAGTGTCCAGGGATCCCTCTAAAAACGGGACTTTTTTCAAACCTGGCCTTGTATAAACTAGAAGATTTAGCGGGGGTTGATATCTGGGGGTTTAAATTTTCATGAAGATTGATATCGTAGATAAGAAACAATACGAAGAAAAGATTCAAGGGTACCACAAGATAACTTGTGGTACCCATAAAGTTACTTGAAATAAAGGAGTTTAGGCCTTCAAGAATAACTTTATTACTGCAGGTAGTAAGAAATAATTTAATAATTTCAAAATCTTTATATAAAGAAACTAATAACAAAGTGAAGACTAATCCTAGGATAGTTAGAGAGGTCAAAGTGTTTTCAAGGGTTTTGAAAAATTGGAACCACTTATTTAGCACTTTTTAAAAATGAAATATTATTAAATATTATAAGATTAAATGTTAGACCTACTTTAGTTGATGACATTGTTAAAGACTAACCAAAAGTCTCTAGAACCAAACATCTGATATAAGATACAAGATTTAGTAAACTCAGAATAACAAAGCTTAACATTAAACAGGACCTTTTTACATTGGCTTCTTGGAATAATAAAAGGACATATATTCTTAAAAGAGATGTTCTTGTAAAAAAGATGAAATAAATGATTAATAAAGCAACTGCTCAAGATAGTGAAAAAAATATGGAGTAGATTAAGGTTCGATTTAATGAGTATGAATAAAGGCTTCCAAACTTTTAGTACATAAGGAATTAAAGCTTCTGAGATGCGCTTTATGCATACATATTATGGACATAAACATATATGTTTGCTATTTATTTAGATGCTGGCATACAATATTCTTTTATATTTATATAAACTTTAGTATTTATATCATAGACGAGTTTTTTCTGGAAATTTACAGAATTCTGGAAATTTACATAAAACACCTTTAATTTTTTCAGGAATTTCCTGATGTTTTTTTATATTAATTTGAAAAAAAATTAATATATATTTACATAAAATTTTACATATGACAACTTTTGCATTTAAACAAATATGTTTTCTATAATTAAAATTTTCACGAGATCGATTTTCCTAACAATTTTTTTTCTTTATTTTTTTTGCTTTTTAATTCATTCAAACTTTTTCGTTAAAGTTAAATAATCTAAATTCCGTTTGTCAGTTAAATGCGATCAATTTTTAATAAAACAATTTTCCGGGATTTTCATAAAGTCAAATACTCATCTATGTTTATATAGTTTAGTATTTCCTGAAAGAAAAGATAATGATGATGGTCATGATGTTTATATATGCATATATATACAGAATATAACATGAATTCTAAATAAAAAAATTATACTTAGAGATGTATAAATGTTTATGCAGCCCTGGTCACAAACCCGGCCCTGGCTATCTTTTATCAACCCTGATCGTTTACTAATATAAAGCTATCTGTTTTAGGTAGTTCTTTCTTTTTTCATTAGCAGAGTTGTTTCTTATGCTTATAATTACGAACTATCCATTTTTTGGAGAAAAATAAAGCAAAGTATTTACAATATTTAAGAACTTGCCCATTAATCTATTTGTAGTCATATCATCTAGTTTATTTTAAGTGTTTAACTTTTTTTCTCTTTAAATTAATTATTTAAGAACTGTTGTTTTGTAACCTTTTTAAAGTAAGTTAAATTTTTGTTTAAGCTCTTCTTCATTCAATTGATCACCTCAAACAAAACCAATCACTTAATCTTGTCAGTGACAAAGCAAGTGTTGATTCATTTGAATATAATAACTCTGTGTTTGATGATTTGAATGCAACTAATCCAGCACAGCTTAAAAAAAATGCCACTCAGTTTATGCCAACTTCAGTTTTGAAGAAGTTGCATAGTGAAAAATCTGTAAGTTTTAATTTTTTTTTAAATTTACTTTTTATTTATTCATAATTTCCACAAAAATTAAAAAGTATTTAGTAATAGTGTGTATGTTGTGAGTGTGATATATTTGTGTATTTCTGTGTTATATATATATATATATATATATATATATATATATATATATATATATATATATATATATATATATATATATATATATATATATATATATATATATATAAAGCAATTATTTCATCAGTTTGTATTTTTAATAAAATTATTTTATAAATAAGTATTACTTATTATAATATGCTTAATTTATATTATAATATGAGTAATTAAATTGCTAAAGTTAATTTAGTGTATTCTACAAATAAATTGCTGAATGTTCTTACAGAGCATAGCAACATTAAAATTAGTAAAAACACTAAATATCATAATTGCTAAACATAAAAAAAAAATATTTCATTAGTTTGTATTTTTAATAAACATATTTTATAAATAAGTAGTATAACTTTTTATAATATGCTTAATTTAAATTATAATATGATATAATTCAATTGCTTAGTTATTCTGAAATTTTGTAACCAAGTTTATAAATTTTTATATAAGGTTC